TAAAATTAAAATCATCTTTACAATTTTATTTCAGATCCTCCAAGTCAGCTAATATCTGACGTAACGAACAAGTTGGCAGGTTTTACAGGAACACTTGCAACGCGTGTTAAAACTAAGGTTACCGAACTTAATTTGAAATGGACAACTATGGAAAACACTGACAGAGAAAGCATCATGGGAACTCTCGGTGTTGTAGCGGCAAACATTGAGAAATTTGGCGATGCAGGAAACAATCCAATCGAGGCAGTCCAAGGGGCCATAAACATCATAGGTGCAGTAGCTACCTTTTTTGGTCCAGCTGGTCAGTTAGCAAGTATTGGTTTAAGCTTCGTTTCCAGTCTATTGGGATTATTTGGTAAAGGCCGGAAGCCGAAGCCACTAGGCGAAGTTGTAAGAGAGCAAATTGATGACGCGTTGGCAAAATACCGGGATGAGAGCCTGACTGACAAAGCAATTGGACTTATCAAAGCGTTCAGAGCGTCCAAATCTTACCTAGATGGAGCCGCTGAATCGGGAAAACTTCTCTCAAAAGAAGAAATGATCGTAGCTTCATCCCGTGTGCCTATGACGCAGGGTTCTGAGTTCATTGGCGAGTTGACCACAGTCATTGAAAAGATGTTTAAGAACTCTAAACCCAGTGAGGCTCTGAAGTGCATCAAATATTGCGAACTCTTTGCACAACTCGCTGGACTCAAGGACATGATTCTTACTCAGATGATATCATTGGCGGGTAACGAGATGGAGAATGATGTCAATGGTTTGATGTCCTACCAGCGAGATTTTCGCGATGCTGCAAGAGTTTTACTCGAGCCACTCTTTACGACAAATTTTGGACAAAAGGTTTTGCCGTACTTTGATCCAGACATCAGTGTCATCACTGACTCGTACGCCACCTCGTTGTTGGACCTTGGAAAGTACGATCGCTCAAGAGCTGGAATGCACTGCATAGTAACTCCGGTTAACTCCGGTGGTAAAAAGAATCTAGTTTGGTCCACAGATAGCGATTTCTTACAGGTAAATGGAAAGCCATATACTGATCTTGCTGACGACAATGACGAGAATTGCTACTGGAAGCTTGTGCCTCACGGAAACCATCTCTACAGTATTGTCAACAAAAAGGGATGCGATGAAACACCACTTGGGGAGTGGTGTGGGTCGATATTGTCCTTTGATGTCATCGATGACACAGGAATTGTTGACATTGAACCTACTGATGGCGTCATGTGGGAGATTCATGGAACTAAGTTTAACAGGTATGCAACCTTTATTGATAGGAGAACATTATGTGTAAATGTAAACCCCAAATTCAACAAGAAGATATCTACCAGTACCGTGAATTGGAAAACATTGCAACCAGAGTCGAATTTGGAATTGATTAACTGCGAGTGATTCAAGAGTGATGGATTCTGTGACACTAAGAACAATGAAGCGCATAGTAGTCAAATGAGATTAATAAAGACAATAAGTGTCTCTTTTTTTCATGTCAGGATTCGCAACAAGAGGGGCTGCAGTGGTAGTGTTCCTGATTCATACTGCAATCAAGAGCTGAGAGTTGAAATGCGTGATATATATGTTCCTGGTGGAGGCTTCTTAGGGGCGCCAAGGGAGGTTTCTCGCAGAGTTGGCAAATTGCTTCCCAGTGACGGGTTTTACCACTGGATGTTGAGGAGGGTCAGTTTAAATACAGCAATCCACTTCTTGCTTTTATCGTATACGAAAGCGGCCAAAAAAATACTTCAGATTTCAATACTTTTTCTTTATAGTGCTTATGGTGTTTCAAATTATATAGAACTATTGTTAGACAAAACCGTCCATATCACGGTCGCAAGATTGCACTTCTTCCTCTGATAGTCATCTAATTATAGAATACTTTTCTGTGCTAAAAAAATATATGAAAGTTTCACGTGATATCTTTTGTTGTTACCCATTGATTGTCGGCAAGTATTTGTCAAGATTGTTGTATTATTCAATTGATCAAACAGATTTAGTTTGCTAATTTCTGCAAAATTTGTAATGAACTGTAGTAAAAAATTTGAATCTTAAGAAGCGATTTTCATGAAGTGTGCATTTTTTTCACTCTTATTTGGCCATAATATTAATTTTTATGTCCTTGACATTTTAGGTGTAGCTCCACGAATACTATGCAAGTACAACAACGACAAGGACTTAAGTGAAAATGAGAAATTCAATATCAAGTTAAGCTCAATAGAAACAGCTTTAATAGATTGTAATCTTCATAAATGGTCGTTGAGTGTAGTTGGTATTTATCATGCAAATGGAAAAATATGTCAAAGCTTGTCAAGGCGGTTGCAAGGTATTCTTGATATAATATAACAAATATAAATACAGCCATTTGCAAAAATTATGAGAATTGTCTAAATATCTAAATATCATAATATCCATATCCACATATTGTCCGGAACACGGGGGTTTACTAGAATAATTCATTGTTTACATCGAGAAAATGTTCAGAACTACTGATAAGTCTGTCGCCAAAAAAACTAAACAACAAAGACAAGGGACTAAGACCATCGCGCGGGATCATGCACTTGATATTATGATATTTAGATATTTCAACAATTCTCATAATTTTTGCAAATGGCTGTATAAATAAATATAATATAAATAGTATATTATATAGGCATGGCAACAAATATATTATATATATTTGAATATTTGAATAAAGAACAAGCAGGTCTCTCGAGATGGACGTTTTATTGACTTTATTGGGGAAACTAACACTCGTCTTCTCTTGAAAATTTAAACTAAAAAAATATTGTGCTAACGAATTTAAAAAAAAAAAACTGTTAATGGGTTTCTCAGCACTTTTCTCTCATGCCACAGCTGACCCTTCGCCTTCCAATACCCCCTACTGATGACACAGTCACTCTAGAAGTCACCTCGTTTCCTGGTCTTAATTCCGTGACTCTGTATATTTAATTTTTCAGAAATATATATGTTTCTATTATTTGGATTAGATAAATTAACGAGACTTAAACTCGATATTTTAAATGCAAATTATTTCTACTCAAATGATTTTACCAAGTGATTTGTTTGGTAAATGAGGTGCGAAAGCATATTTGATATCATAATATGAACAAAAAGTTTCGTTATCATTGATATTCAAATCAAAATCGATAAAAATGTATTGTTGTTTTTGATACACGTACTTCATACACTGAAAATTGTTCGCAATTGATTTTTAACACTCTGAATTCCTATCCTTCGCAATGGTTGGTCACAAACACACAGTTAACAAGCAGCAGTACCTTTTCAACAAAATAGTACCAGTACAATGTTTGCTTAACTTTGGTGGCCGGATTTTGTACAATACCAACGTGCGAAAAAAAAAAAAACAGTTATACCCGAGTCGATGATCCACTCTAGAAATCACCTCGTTTTCAATTGGCTAACATCATCAAACCTAACAGGGCTTCCTGGTCCTAAATCCGTGACTCCGTGTATAGATATACATGAACTTCTCAGAAATATTACTAAATGTTTCTATTAATTTTGATTAAATAAATCAATGAAGATTAGTCAAACTCAACATTTAAAATTTCACGCAAGTAATCTTACTAGGAATGGCTCTACCATGTTTTAGCTTTAGTTGGCAGGTACTATTGAAAATGCGGTCTAAAAACAACTTGACTAGACATTCCAATGCAAGCTGCTCTTGTGTCAATAAAAAGCAAAGTAGGATTAAATGGAAGGATTAGCTGTTGGCATCATTAGCAATTTAAACGTTTCACTATATCGATATTAAAATCAAAATCGTTGAAAAAGTTTGTTTCTCGATACGAGAACTCCCAACACTGAGTTGATCGCAATGAATTTTTAATGCTCTGATTCTTTACATCCTTTACAATGGTTGGTCATGAACACACAGTTGACAAGTGGCAGTACCTTTTCCACGAAATAGTACCAGTGCAATGTTTGCTTAAACTTTGGTGGCCAGATTTTGTACAATACAAACGTGCGAACATGACCAGTTCTATGAAGTAATCATGAAAAGTAGATGTCCAAAGTGAAGTAGAGCCCATTGCAGTTGTTGACTGGTCGGTAAGAGCAGCAGAAGAATTGGCAAAAAGGTAAACAAAATCGCATTTATAAATTATTTGTTATCAATTGATAAAATATGTTTGATTTTTGAAGTTTTGTTTTTCGTGTCCGCAGTATA